CGGGCGAGTACCGGTGATAGCCGGTAATTCTCATCGAAATATTACTGTTGTTGTTGTATGTTGACTGACACGCTGCTCCACGTGGCACATGTGGATAAAGAGAACAGCCAAGCTGGCTGATCCATGGAATATGATGGGATAATTCAAAAATACATTTTTGTATAATTTCACGTAACCTTTGTATCAATTGTTATTCGGTGACAATTCAAAACCAAATTAATTTGTTGGAAAAGAATGGAGTGATTACAAATTTCGGAATAGCTGTCATAATCTTAGTCAAAATGGAACCCATTCTCTTTGACCGTGAAATAGTTATGGCCTTATGGGCCTTATAAGACAGTATCCTATGGAGGCCAGACCATTTTTTTTACTTTGTATAATATTATAACGAGTTTGATTTTTTTATGTAGTTTGTGTTTAGGCTTAGTTGTTAGATTTGATGATAATGGTTTGTCAGTCATAGGGTTTACGATTTGTATCTCATTTTCTTTCAGCGGTTTTGTAGTGTATGTTTTTCTGAAACTACCTAATCCAATCCAGAACAGATTTGACAAAGGTAAATTTGTTGATTGCAGAGATTTGTAGTCGCGCTATCATCAAAAGTGTTTGAAGTTCGTCTTATGTCAAGATTGTACGGATATGGCTTTTGGTCAATCGGTTTTAGACTCTGTGTAAAACTGTCATTGTGTTAGAAAATAAGTCTGCCTTCGTTAATATGTCCGAGCGGAAATAACTTTGTTTTCTATGTATCTTTATTTGATGTTTATAGAAAAAAGTAAAACAAGATTATAAAACAAGTGATACAAACTAATATTGATACCGATAAATTAAATCGTTTTTGTGATTATAACAAAAAACAAAATGATACATTGTTTACCGTTGCGGTTAAATATTACAAATCAAAACTAATATATTTCTAATCAATCTACAAGAATGTTTTGTTAAAAAGAAATCGATATATAATATGGTTGGATCATATAAACATCAGATTTGATCAGAACTCTACTTTATTTGATAATGATTTTTTCCCCAAATTATTTATCCGGTTTCGTGAAATTGAATTGGCTCTTGGTTCGGTTTCCTCCACATTATCAACAACTAATTTTTTGAATTTGAAGATAATTAGCTAGGTTTTGTAAAATAGAGATGAAGATTATATTTGATGATGACAATAATATAAGTTTTTTTTTTTGTTTCTNTTGGCAGAGAGTAAAGGCTCGATTACTGTGAATGTCTCTTATTTTGATGTCACATTTACAAAAAAAGAAAAGAAAAAGAGAGAAGCTTTCAGAAACAAAGAATAGTGTATCACAGTCTCTGTACTTTCGCAAGCTTCCAACTTCTATCACTGTACTCTTCCATTCCAATAATGCTCTGATTATCTCCAGTTTTTCTATTTCTTACTTCTTACACATTTTCATCAATCTTTTTACGATTTTTGGCGATTTGAGTAGACTAGACGCGAAAGTGAAGCAAAACCCAAGTAAAGATTCTCTCTTTCGATGGATTACGAACGAATCGGAAAGGCCCAGGTGAGATTTTCCTGAGAAAAAAAATGCTTCAGTTTCACGTTTTCCTCGATTTCCGTAACTGGGTTTTTGCGTAGAAATGGGATTTAGGGAAAACAGAAAGCGAGATTTAGCGTTTCCAGATTTTGATCTCTCGTTTTCGTGTTGATTTTGGGGGAAACAAAAAATATACGAACCGTCATTTTCAAATCTCTGCTTCACTAAAGTTATATAAAAAAAAACTTTTTCTCTCCGATGATAGGTTACTAGCAGCGGTGGATTTTCTCCGGGAAAGTTAAGGACTATGCTTCTTCTTGGTGTTGATAGAAAGAAGAACGAAGAAATGTTTGAATCTATTTCTCCTACAATGAGATCTGGGTCAAATCAAGGTACACTTTTTTTCCCCCTTTTTTGTTGTTTTAGGGTTTATGGTGGAGCCCTTAATCATTTCTTAATACTCCTTTTTAAAAACGTCTTTGTCTCTATTTGCTTAATGGAATCTTTTAACTTTTTTTTTCAAGAACTGAGTTTTTTTGTTGTTGCTTTGAAATGCAGTTGCTAGTGGACTTGATGATTGCAAAGATGTTGATGTTGTGAGTGAGATTGCTGATTGTTCTACTTCAGGGATGGCTGGAGAAGTGCGCGAGCAATCTTCGATTGGCTCGGGTCTTGAAGAGTACCCGAGTCATGATTACGACAATGTGGATGAAATCAAGAGTGTTTCTGCATCTGTTTTTGAGTTTCAAAAGACGGGAAAGGAAAAAGCTCCTCAAAGAATGCCTATTAGATCATTCTCTAAACCTGCTCCATCTAAATGGGATGATGCTCAGAAATGGATCGCTAGTCCGACAGCTAACCGGCCGAAGACTGGACAGATTCTGGTTCCGGGGTCTAAGAAAGGGCCTAGCTTTGGTCGGCAGTCTTCGATGAAGATTGTTGAAGTTGCTGATCAAAGAGCGGGTGCGTTTGCGGTTGAAGAACCTGATACAAAGCGAATAGATGTAAGCCAAGTGAAAAAGGATACGGGACAGAAGTTTGTTAGCTGGGAAGTCGATTCATACACAACCGCGGATTCGTATGTTAAACCGGTTCTTATGGTTGAGAACTCCATTGTAGAATCAGCAACTGAAGGTGGTCCTAACCGTTTCTTTGAGCTTTTCAATTTGTATGCTCTGTTTATCTTCTGAATACAAAATTTACTTGCTTGCTTGCAGTTAATCTCAGTCGACATGACTCGTCAATCGCAACTGCGTTTGCCCAACCGCCTTCAACAGCGAGATCTGTATCGATGAGAGACATGGGAACCGAAATGACTCCAATAGCGAGCCAAGAACCTTCTAGAAATGGGACACCGATTAGGGCAACAACGCCAATCCGAAGTCCAATATCTTCTGCTCCTTCAAGTCCCGGGAGACAAGCATCGGCTTCTCCTATGACTAACAGGGAACTATCAGAGAAAGAGCTTCAAATGAAAACTAGGAGAGAGATAATGGTTTTGGGTACTCAGCTTGGTAAATTAAACATTGCAGCTTGGGCTAGCAAAGAGGATGAAGACAAAGATGCTTCCACATCACTAAAGACCAAAGCTTCCCTACAAACTTCTAAAAGTGTTTCTGAAGCTCGTGCTTCCGCTTGGGAGGAAGCTGAAAAGGCTAAGCACATGGCTAGGTACTCCGAAGTCGCATTGTTTGATCTGAACATAGTGCTTTAGTCTTTCTTGGGAAATTTTAGCTTAAAATGACTGTTGTAATCTCCAGGTTCAGACGCGAAGAGATGAAGATTCAAGCTTGGGAGAATCATCAGAAGGCGAAATCTGAAGCCGAGATGAAGAAAACCGAGGTAAAGTAGCTTGAAAACCTCAAGAAATATTCACAGTACACTAACATTGCTACTCAAATTCAAGTTATGATTGTACAAATTTGGAATTCTTGATATTGTAGGTGGAAGTTGAGAGGATTAAGGGACGAGCACAAGACCGTTTAATGAACAAACTAGCTGCGATAGAGCGCAAAGCAGAGGAGAAGCGAGCAGCTGCTGAAGCAAAGAAGAATCGACAAGCAGCGAAAACAGAGAAACAAGCTGAACAAATCCGAAGAACAGGCAAAGTACCTTCATTGTTGTTCTCTTGCTTTAGCATTTGTGCTTAATGAAATACAATACAATCCTTTTTTTGGTGTTGTTAATTCTCAAGAATCCATCTTTTTTATCATTTGTATAATAAAACCCTTATTGTGTGATCTATTATCAATCTCAGTTTGCTTTGTAGGTCTGGAAATTCTGGTTTTCAGACCGGTTTGGGATGTGAGAATTTTGGTTTTCACCACTTATTCGGCCCGAATAGTCCTTACCAAACCGAAAGACCATAACATTTGGTTCTTGCAAAATTTTAAATTTGGTTTGGTTTTTTGAAATATAACAAAACTAATATTTGGACTACTGTCTTTAAATTGGTTTACTTGGTTCGATTGACTTATACTGAAAACGACTTTGGTTTGATTGTGGAACTATCTACCAATCGCTTTATAATTTTCTTGGTCAGACTCGGTTTAGGTTCAGTTCTGTCTTGGATAACCAAAATGTTTGGTGTTTTTACATAATTTTTGATTTGGTTTAATTTTGGGTTAAAAATATATTCAATTTAACATGGAAAATTGACACTGTTTTATTTTATAAACACCAAAATTATGTACCAATCGGCTTATATAGTTTTTCGGTTTAGACTCGGTTCTGTTTAGGTCGGTTTAAAGACCTTATCATCGCCGCTTTCTCCACCAGAGGTATAATTTGGCTAACATATACACCAGTAATACATTGCCACGTGTTCGTATTTGATTCATTGACAAATACGAACCGAACTTCAATTATATTTTTCCCATCGCAAAAGAAAAAAAAAAACTTTTAGGCTTAGCTTTAAAGGGCACAAATACAATCGTAGTTTCTCTCTGGTTCGCTCTTTGTGGCGGCTCGTTTCATCTTCTTCTTCTTCCACGGGAATTCTCTGATCGGAGTTTATTTTTCCGACCTTCCTAGGATTTTCGATCTCTCTAGGGTTTCAGGATCTGAAACCTTACGATCTATCTACTTACTAGAAAGAGATTTAAGAAAACTCCAGAAATCATGTTTGCGCCTGCGACTCAACCGCAACATCAGAAGCAATCGGAGCATGTTTCTTCTGCTGACGAAGAAGCTTTGAAGTGGAACACCGATTGCGTTTACTTTCTCGCGTCTCCTTTAACCTGCAAGAAGGT